TCAGAAGCAAAGTAAAGTGAGAAATTGTAGACCAGTCTAAAGAAATTTGAAACAGGCTACCCAAGAGAGCTACCAACGTTTAAAAATACGCAAACAAAAAATTACTACTTTGGTATATTTCGATAGATGGCAACACTGGTGATTGTAATATTTTAAGATGTTGCCACTACTGATTCTCAGTTACCTCTTATGACAGTTGTTAATGACTTAATTGCACATTTAAAGGTGTAGGTGCCTCTGGAGACAAGGCCTGGGATCTCCCTTCAGCACAACGGGGCGAAACACCATTTTGGTCAAGAAACGAGAATTGTTGGATTAGTCGTAGTGGTCCAAAACCCTGGCCACCAAGATCTCCGGACTTAACCTCACTTTACTTATCTCATAAAATGTATCATTAAATTCAAATGTTTTTATTCCATGAGCGCACTTTCAAACTGACATAGCTCCGCAACGGTTTGAAATAGTGCCAACATTTATTACTAAAAATTACCTCCCGAATCACACCCTCGCGGTCACCCACACGAGGGCCTGGAAACCCCAACATGGAGTTACAACCGTTCTGTCAGACATTTTAGAAATGAACCAGGTGGTAATATAACGCGCACGATAAAAATTATAATTTAAAATAAACTATATATATATATATATAATGTACAACATTAGAATGAAGATTCCAATATTTTACATATAAGTTCGCAAAACACTAATGTCAGTATTTTTACAAAAACTTTAACTGCATTTCTGAAGATTCCTTAACGACAAATCCTTCTGATATTTTTTTCTTCAAATAATATATTTCATATTGGTATATTTATAAACTAATTTATTTGTTATAAACTATAAATTAACTGACTACACTGGACCCTAACAGCACAGCAGTCAGTCCTTCAAAGGTGAGGGCAATAATCTCGAGACTTTTCCGTCTCTCAAGTCTCAAAAAAAGAGTTTGAGAATTAATTTTGGTCATTAATCAAAATCATAAAATAGTTTCCACACGTCTAGTGGCAATAATATAAAATTAAAACTAAATAAAATACCCAACCCAAAACGTGAGAAAACACTTTTTAAGTCTCTTCAGAGGAAACAGCTTTAAGTGATGTTACAGAAGTTACCTGAAAATCAAGGTGAGTGAACTTAACGGGTTCCTCTGCAGATGAGATCCAGACCTCGACTCAACGTAGAGGCGCGACGGTGCGAACTGCGCAGACGCAAACAGAACCACCCACTGCAAGGAGGGAGGGAGGGGGGAGACTTTACGTCATTACTGTCAAGAACACTTTACATATCACCACCCTAACAATATTAATTTGTGTCCATGTTAAATTTTTTCGCTCGGCCTCGCTTCTAGTCTCCAAATTGGTATCAACTGAGCGTCTAAACGGTATGACCTTCCTCGTGTTGATGACCGAACACAGTAATAGTTGAGTAGTTGACCGCTGGAACACTAGGTCGTGGTTTCCAATCCCCTTCGAGGTATCGATACGTATATTCACGTTCTAATGTGTTGTGCCTTGTAACGGGATGATGTGCAGTCCAAAGGTTCCTTGCATGTCTATCGAGAGTGGAAAGGTATACTATTTGGAACAGACAAATTATAAAAGGAATAACAAAGGAAATAATGATGACCAAGGTCTTTTTTGAGACAATATGATGATGACGTAAGAGACAGACGTGGACAGACCCATAATGCATTCTTCGCTTACGCTAAATCGTATAAAGAACATGTAAAAAAGATTTTAAAGATGGTAATTCTGTAACAGGCCAAGGCATAACATAGTGAGCTGTAAAGGCCTTGGAAATAATATGGAACATGTATTTAATTTCGGTCTATACTGGAGAAGATAAACACGGAATTAATTTCAATTGCGTGTAATCGTAACAGAAATATCCACACGGTATTAAAACACATTTCATTCATGTCTAGAACGTCCGGAATATTTTATGACGCACTAAACAAAACACGTCTATGCAATGACATTCGTAAAAATGTTATCTTTGAAAAAATCTGTGAAATCCACTCCATAGACATTGAGAGACTCCACAGATCCACACCTACTCACATTTTGAAGTAATAAGTACAAATCTTCCTCTTTAGGGTTAATGACCGTCTCCTTCCCTATACGTCGCTCTTCGAGGTCTTCTATTGATCGATTCCCCCAACCTCTCTAACGGATTTTGCTGGTGTCCACTGCGGGTCGCAACGTTACATTACGGGTTGGCATTTTTATTGTCACGTTATATCGATATCGTTTCATATTCGATAATCGATATCGTTTCATATTCGATAATCGATAATAGATTAAACATTCGACTCATCTAAAAATAAGTATAGTGTACTAATAACGACAAATTTAATATCAGGAAATTGAAATTTGGAATTTATTCAAAAGAAAAATGTCGTAAGAAATTGTAACCAGTCTCTTCAAACTTATCTTATTTTGCTTTTATCTTGTAATGAAGAACAGTGAACAAATCTAGTAGTCTACATTAACCTCAAATTTTCTGCAGGTGTTGACAATAACCCCCAAAACCAAATTTTGGTCGTAGTATTTACTTATCGACTCAATAAGATATTGTTTCTGATAGATTCGAAACCTCAGAGCAGCCCTCGAAGCTAATTATTTTACTCACTGTGAGACAAGGCTGTGGAGTCGAAATCGGAGACAGAAGCTATTTTAGGTGGAGTTGGAGTCGATAGAAATGTATCGACTCCGACTTCGATATAAAATCTTAGGAACAATTTCTATACCGCGTGTGCCACAGGCGGCCTGACGCTTAGGGGAGATTCAACGACGCGTTGAGCCACGTGGTGTGGGAAAAATGCTTTGAAACTTTGGCTCCGGTAACTTAAGATTAAAAACTGTCTACAAATCAATCGATTTTTGCAATAAACATTAGAATATATTTAAATATAGGTTATAAGTCTAAAAAGTAGGATGACGATGATTCAAGTGGCGATGATGAAATCTCTTAAGGTGCCATTTACAATTTTACTAGGTTTACCCTAATTAATGGATATTGAGCTTTTATGAAGGAGTCGGGGTCGAAGCCCTGATGTGAGGGTTGGCTTATAAGCAGACAGTTCATACCTCTGTTTTAGCACACGGTAAGTACTGTG